CCCAACCCCCGCCAGGCACATCCCTCACCACTACCTCCATTGGGATCTCCTGAGATAAGCCTACACCCCACATCATTGCCCAAATTGCCCTAAGGCATGCCGCCACTTATCACCTTCTCATCAGCCGATCGCACCACCATCCGGACAGACTAAGCCAAAATGACTAATTACCTCGAATACGATATCGTAATAAATTTCGCTACATTATGGCCTGTAATTCATTACTCATTGACTCTACCACAAATTTCTACGTAGTATTTGATATACACCTAACAATTGACTAAGGATCACCCTTAATATTTACTTTAACGTTGGGTTCTTGTTTCGCCTTGAGACCATAAGATATCACAACATTGGTAATGATTTCGTCTAAAAGTCATGAACGAGTCATTACCTCTCAACTTGTCATAAATTGCGCTACAAACGTCTCTTGACTGGACAGTGTGATGTCACATTATCTTGTAGACTTGTCGATACGTAGCAATGTATTATAATTATTGTGATTGTAAGTACTAGTTGTAGGTATTAATAACAAACGAGTCAACCAACAAACTGTAAGACAATTGTAATAAGAGTTCATCAATTAATACAATGTATGAAAACCTGTAAAAAAAAAAAAACCTAAATAATATTCGTTCTCTACATTGCCAGACTTTCTTTTCCTACACATTCCTAAATATTTTTAATTGTACTGATTTTTTATATTATATTAAGTATGTAAATTATTATTTAATCATTACTATTTTACCTATTGTAAGTCTTACAACGCTACTAATTTTACTATTTAGTTCTTTTGTCTTTCAATTCCTTAATCATTTTGGAGGACAAATATTGCACGTCACTAATTTACAGAGAAGTTGACACAGTATATAACAAAAAACCGATTGTTTTTTAAATGTAATTTTTCAAATCTAAATATGTTTTTAAGTTTGAACACTAATTGATGCAACCTATCTAAAGCACGAATTAAATTTTAAAAACACGCACGCATATCGATCAATATCGCAAAACAAAAAACATGTAAAAGCGTTTCTGCTTACTTTTATCTCACACCAAATATCTCACTGAACGTTCAACAAAATTCGTACAAAATTATCAACATTGTTAATAAAACTACCGAGCTTTTTTTTGAAAACTTTGTCTTTTTAATTTTTACGCCAAATTACCTACACTATTAATTATTTACACAAATTATCCAAAAAAACGCTTCATATTTCTCACTTACATAAGACATGAAAAAAAAAAATAGGCCAGGTCTTCTTGATTAGTCATACCATTGAATACGAAGTTATCTTCAAACCTAACAGTTTTCTTATCACATCAAGATAAGAAAGGTTTCGTTTTATAATTTTGTTTGACTTATTCACGTTCGTCAGATAAAACCTACGGCAAACAGAAATGCTGCCACGTCATCTGAACATGATATTTATGAAACTGTTATATATTTTCACCTCCGTCCAATAACATTAAGGCTCTACTTGAGCTCTCCTTGTATAACTACTATATTGAAGAAATAAGCCACATAGATTGCGTTTAAAATATAATGTGAATATAAATTCATGGCTCTCAAGGAAATATACGCCAAGTTAACAACATTTAAAAAAAATATTCTACAGTGGTACTGGATGTACCACTGTAGAACGCACTATATATCTATTATTAGTCTATATTTTTACTAATAACATTTTTAAACCTTGGCAAGTGTAAAAAATTTATCAAAATAAAAGTAAACAGGAAAGACATCTAAAATTTAATACTATACATATCGTTATAAATATGTAAACATCCTCAATATTTATTGTTATTCGGTAAAATTTCGTAAATGTAAACAAGTTTTAAAAACAAACAATAGATTTGGGAAATTAAAAGGTAACCCTATGTCACCCAGATATTATATTACCAGGGCTTATTAGTCGTTCATTACCGATACATTTTTGAAAAGTATACTTACTAATGTCAAGTTACAATGAGTTAAGTAATCTTAATAACTCAAGCACACTTCTATTAAAAATAAAACACCTTTCAGGTGCACCAACATGTCAGCACGTAACATTATTATCATTCCTTG